CCCCCCCCCCCCCCGTTGTTGCTCTGTTCTCTGACGACAGGGAGGTCAAATTCATTGTGTAGCCAACGACCATCTTCAACTTCTGATCCTCCTTGCTCTACTTCCTGACTTTTGGAACTATAGATTTGCACCGCCACATTGTAGATGCATGCAGTGTGTGTGTGTGTGTGTGTGTGTGTGTGTGTGTGTGTGTGTGTGTTGGTGTGGGGGGATCAAAGCCCTGTTGGAGCTGGCAAGGCAAGCTCTATAGCAGTTGAGCCACGTCTCTTGTTCCCTGATTTTTATCTCAATAAGACTCTGTGTCTTATCCAATCACCATGTTCAGTTACTGTGGTCCCAAACTGTCCTAGATTTAACTGAAGGAGGTACCTTCAAGTTCCTTCCTTCCTTCCTTCCTTCCTTCCTTCCTTCCTTCCTGAGACAAGGTTTCTCTGTATAGCCATGGCTGTCCTGGACTCATATTGTAGACCAGACTGGCCTTGAACTCACAGAGATCCACTTGCCTCTGCTTCCAGAGTGCTGGGATTACAGGTGTGTGCCACCTCTAAGCTGATACTATTGTTTTCAATTGGTCCTTTGGAGTAAGTTTTGTATGCAGTTTGCTTACTTTGGGGATGTGCAAATACCCAAGAAACAAGGAACCCATCACTTCAGAAGCTTTCTTGACCTCATCTGGACTAACCACAGACTTGCGGAATTTGATAAAATTGAGCTGAAACACCACCTCCCCTCTTGAGCCAGCAAGACAGAATCATCCACATGTCTGAATCCAGAGCTTGCATTTCCTTATTGCTTTGTGGCTTCCCACTGCACTGATGTACAAGCTGATTACAAATCTACTTTTTAATGGGCATTTGGATAGCTTCAAGTTCAAAACTCTTCACAAAGACACTGTGGGCATTCCTAGACAAGTTTCTGCTTGGACAGGGACTCTCCATCCTCTTCAGTAGCCATGAGTGGAACGGGTGAGAGTCGTTGAGGAAGATGCTAAGCTGTGCGTTACAGTGTGGCTGTGGGGTTTTATGCCATCAATATGAAAGAGAACTGGCCAGCACAGAACAGTTTTTGAGCATGGTCAGCTGTAATAGTATCTCCTATTTGCCTGATTTGTCGTCTCCGAGGCTTACTGCCTCCACCTGCTAACCTTGGCTGGGTCCTGGAAGCACTTAGCCTCTGTACAATCTAATCTAGGCCTAGAATGTTTTCAGCCTCTGAGGCTTTTTGCTGAATAAGCTCACCCTTTCTTGTTCTTTCAGAACTCTGGCTGGCTGGCTCAACTCAGCTACTGTGGCTCAAATTCCTCTCCAAGCTGACTGATTCAATCTGGCTTCTCTCCTGGTTTCTCACTGAATTGCTCTGTTTGGCCTCAAACTAACTCTAGCAATCTGTTCTAATCTTTTGGCTCCTTCTCATTCTCTGGCTCTATCTTCACTTGTGTCTAGCTTGCTCTCTCTGCAACCTATCTCTGTAAAACTATCCTCTTAAAATTGCTCTCTCTCTGTGTTGCTTTCTTTTATATCACTCTTTCCTCTCTGCTCTAGTGAGAGTTGGGTATCTCAGTCAAATCTTCTCTGATTCCTCACTTTGTCTCTCAATTAGACATCACTTTCCAACATGGGTGCTTCATTCTACAAACTACTTTTACCTTCATTGTTTGGGATTAAAGATGTGCACTAAGGACATGTCTGTATAGCCAGAGTAGCCATGTTGCTGGATTTAATCTGAGGCTTTTGGGTGGTAGATCAACACTTTCTCATGGTTGTTTAAGTGCCAGTTCTCATATATTACTAAATCTGTCAGTTGAATTGCCTTTTATTTTCACAAGCAGTGTAGGATAGTAAGTATATGTCCAAGAATAACCATGCATAGCAATATCACCCCCTTCCCCTGTAGGATTACGGACTTTCTACCCTCGAGCTCCATTTCCAACCTCTTTCGTGTTTGTAGGGAAGACACATTGGATTTTCTCAAATATCTTTCCAGCTTCTATGAAATAATAAAATGCTATTTCTGAAACCCATTTATTGAATGTAACAACAAGTTTCCTAACAGGCCCTAGGATTCACACACCCTGAATGTATATACCAGAACATGATTTGTTGTGGTCTTGATGAAACTTGGATAGTTAACAGTGCAACAAGGAATTTTGGACCAGTTAGAATTTTTAAATATGGAATGGAGAGAGAGGGAGAGAGAGAGAGAGAGAGAGAGAGAGAGAGAGAGAGAGAGATCATTTCATTATCCAGATTAGGTATTGTTACATACAGGCCATTAAAGAATTTGGAAATTTGCTGTGATCTGAAATATTATTTAGAAATAACGGACTATAACTATTTGGGTTTTTAAAGCTTTGCCTTCTTTATGGGGTCCCATGGATTCAATTCAATTTCTTGGCAAATTGGGTGCCAAGAAATATATGTTGAGTTGAATTCTCTTAAATAATTGTGTGAGTTTGTGGGTGTTTTGTACTTTTTACTTTCCAACAACTTTCTCTGTTTTTCTTTGAAAATTGACTTAAGCTATATGTCTGGCATTCATTTAATGTATTAAATCATACACATACAGACACAGTTTATCTGGACTTAGAGAAATCTAACATCATCAAAATGAAACTCGGCTCGTACAGATGACTTCATCATTAATGGCAGAAGTGGCTACTAAAATCGACAAAGCATCTAAAAATAGATGTCAATGGTATTTTTTAAATAGTTCAAAGACAAAAATCATGTTCTCAGGATAAATAGCTGCCCAGATTTGAATGCCCACTATTTGTTTATTCTTTTCATAATTCAGTAACAGAATGTTTAACAGAATGTTTGAGTACTCAACTTTGACAGCTTGCCACACCTATGTTAATAGGGTGTCTCTGTCCCCTCTACACAAGAATGAAGAGACATTATTACTATTAATATTAATATGCAAATATTGCTACACTACTAGGCACCTCAGAGACTCTGCTAAAGCTTAAATCTGGAATGTTCTTGTGAAGGCCCACATGTTATAGGTGTGTAAGGACCCTAGGGAAGATGTTCAATCCTCATTCAGAAGGGCAAATGCAATAGACATCAGAAGCAGGAGAAGACAGGGAACAGGACAGAAGCCTACCACAGAGGGCCCCTGAAAGACTCTACCATCAGGGTATCGAGACAGATGTTGAGACTCAGCCAACTTTGGGCAGAGTGCAGGGAATTTTGTGAAAGAAGGGGGACAGGAGCTCCAAAAGGAGACTAACAGAGCCAAAAACAAAGACAAAAACAAAAGACAAAAAACCCTATACGCACACACACACACAACTGTGCCCGGGGGCCCTGCAGAGACTGATACCTCAACCAAGGACCATGCATGGAGAAGACATAAAACCCCTGCTCAGATGTAGCCCATAGACTCAGTCTCCAAGTGGGTTCCCTAGTAATGGGAACAGGGACCATCTCTGACATGAACTCAGTGGCAGGCTGTCTGACAGGGAAGCAAATTGCAAGAAGAGATGAGAATGAAAACTCAGTGTAGATTGACTTCAGGGAGCCTAATGTCTAATGTCAAGTGGTTTGTTGTAGGCATATTTAAACACAATGGAATCTGGATAAGGGTCTCCAGGCAACAATTCCCATAATCATTCCAGTTTTAGGTATACAATAAAGTAGGCAAGCATAGAGAATTATAAGAATAGCTAGTAGAGGGCTAAAGAAAGAGGAAAGCCATCTTTAATTCATCCATCTCTTAATTTATGCTAATATTTTTGCTGTGAGCAAAATGGGTGTAATATAGTCTATTCTACACAAACCTTTATAAACAATTCTTAGCATGGCGAACGATATTATACTGTCTCCTATCACAGGTGTGTCTTTTATCCCCATGACAAAAGGCATTTGGGTTCTGTATTGACAAGAATTAACATGCAATGCAGTCATTATACATAACATTATTATTTTTGGATTAATCCTTGCTTTTTCCCAAAGTCTCCCCAAGTTACCAGCTTACTCTTCCTCTTGGGTTATCTTTTGATGGATTTGTCTTATGATTCCCTTATGCTTGCCTTTATTAGTCCAGCCATGGAGGCAATGCATTCTGCAATGGTCTCTATCATGGCCCCTATTTTTTCTTTAAAAACTTAGAAATGGGGGAGATGTAGAAGGCACTGGGCCTGATACAGAGAAGCACTAAGAGGGGAGAGTCTGGAATAATCGTTTTGGGAAATTTGGTTGAGATCTGTCTCCCTAGACAGCAAAAAGGTCACTAGGTCATTAACCACCTCCACGCTCAGCTTTCTGGACAGAATGCTGGTATTTGAGGAGACATGCCTGCATGGTGAACATTCCCAGCTCCCTAGTGTTTCTCTGTCTGTTTGAGGGCCTTGTGTCTTCTACAAGCGTGGGCCCAAGCTTGGTGTGTGGAAGGTGTGGCAGTGTTCTGAGGTGGGCAGAGGGAGGTCTTCAGAACACTGGAGCTGCCTGTAAAGGAAACAGTGGGCAACTTTCTCTCCTGAACCTAGCCTCACAAACTTAGCTCTGCCATACAGTGGCACAGTGATGCCTTGCCTTGCCACAGGCCTTCCCCCTCCACCAAAAGCAATAGTGCCAGACAACACAGAAGCTACACAGCTATGAGCCACAATAACCACATTGTAAA